ATTCAATGGTATTAATTTATTTTCATCAGCTTTTTTTAAAATACAAATTTAGCAAGTTTATAATCTTCCAGGTTTTTTTTTTTATACCAAAAAAAAAAGATTCTTGAAGGCGTATATTTAATATATGTTTTGAAGAAAATTAAGATATATGTTATTGTGTGCAACAATGTTAAAAAGTACAGCTTGTTCTCATCAGTATGTATTTTTGATGTATTCTATTAAATAACAGATTACCAAATGCATATTCATCTTACAATTATATTTTATACATCATGTATTTTATACCGACATGTACATGTACAATTGTAGTTCGTGATTGAGACCTGCCTAACGTTGTATGATAACCTGGCAAAGAGGTAATAGATTGATTATGTAATTGTGCAAAGCGAATTATTTAAGTTTAATTAATTTTCCTGCCTCAAATTAAGGTATAGACTGTTATAACGATTAAATATTTGTTGTAAGATATTTTACACTTTTAAAATCCATAATCTTGTAAGATGTGATAAGTTTTTATTATTATAACGTTAAAATCTTTTATTCCATGCATTTTCTTATGTTATCAAAATTAGGTCACAAAAAAGAAGCCATTGAGATATATGCATGTAAAGATCAATTAAATCATATTTTTGTGTATATATATATTTTTTAAATATAACATTATAACAGATGTCGTACAATATATCTCTGAAAAACGTGTACAGTATAAATATTTCATTACATTTTCAATATTCATCAAAAAATGTGTATCAAAATGTAGTTGTACAAAATATTGCATTTATTGATCAAAGTATGACAGAGGAAATTCTGATTAAAATTTTGGGATTTAATGACAACCAAAGCTTTTTTTTGTTATATTTACAAAACCATATTTTTCTGATATAGTGATGCATTTGAAAATCTTATTTGGTTAAAAAATTATAAATATTTTTTAAAATATTTCATTTAACTACAAAATATAGTGGATTGGCACTGTGAAAAAAAAATGAAAATTTTTCAAGTCAAAATTTCTGAAAAATTTGACCATTGACCCCATATTCATTTTTTACCAATATAATAAAGAGAATTTAAGTCTTCAATAAGTATGATTTATTTATTTTTCCTATCAGTGGGATTTTTTTAATTTATTGATGAAAAACTGGTTGAATTTTGAAAATGACAGAGGAAATTCGGACTTCAATAATTTTTAATTTTGTTGGCCCAAATCTGAAAATTATTTGGTAATTAGCAACCCTTACTATTATATAATACATTTTATATACTAAAAGATTTCTTATACTTTTCATATTTTGCTTGAAAAGGAAAAAATGGCCATAGTGTTGATTTTGGGGGAATTTTCCGGGAAATCTTGGGTGGCCAATAGCAAAAAAAGTAGGTCATTGACCTAGATATTTCAAAGTGAAAAATGACACTACTGATTGGGGTCTATAACATACTTTTTATGGTTTGTCGTTCCTATCAGTGGAATTTTTTTTATTTCTGAGTAAAGGTATACCTTAAATTGAAATAAAGCATTTTACATTTTGGTGTTCGTAGAGTATTGAAAATGCATATAGTTCCTACTGTGTATTCTAACGCGCGGTGACAAGGTTTCACGACTGTGTTATAGAAATTTGAACGTCGTAGATTTCTAATGGATTTCATAAGGAAAATTACACTGAATGTAAATTTAATTTTATTTTGGAGACCTGTAACTATCTATGGTAATTGTATCCATCCTTGTGCACCGTCTATCATCGGTCGTCCATTAACATTTAAACATTCTCAGCTTTTTCTCTGAAATCACTGAATCAATTTTAGCATATAGCATCCATGGGTTATAGGAGCAAAAATTGTGTACATGTATTTCATGGTCCCTGCCCCCTTGGGGCCTGAAGGGTGGGGCAAATCCTTGTTAAAATTAATGCAATCTTCAAAATCTTCTTTATTCCCGGACATCAAGCAGTCAAACTGTTGGCATGATTGTAATTGGCATTGAGTTCTCTATCAATATTGTAAAACTCATGGCCCCAAGGTCAAGGCAGAGCTGCCAACCCTTACGATTTTGGCGTAAGGCTTACGAATTGAGGGTCTAAAATACGCCTTACGATTTCTCTCTTTATTCTTCCGATTTCCACTTTTTCTCGATCAAAGTTTGAAATACCGGAATTTTCATAGCTGGCCGTCTACAGGTTCTACTATTATAATAATATATTCAGAATCTTTACAACGCTTGCTTGTATCGTCGGTTATAGAAAAGCCGATCGCAGTCATGTCAATGCTTTAAAAGTAAACAAAAGGTTACAGGATACTAATTTTACCCCTATTTCATTGACCACGCAAAGAGTTCCAGATTAAAAATAGAGTTTTTTTCTTAAAAAATCTTGGGGGTGTATATGGGGTGGAATGGGGTTATTTTAGGGCATAGATGGAAAGGAGAGGGTCTGAAAAAAATTATAAAATTAAGAATAATGGGAATTTTGCTATTAAGTGCGTAGTAGGAAGGGTGTAAAGAGGCCATTGTTGACCTATTTCTCAAAGGGAAATGGAAATATGCAGGGTAGGGGTAAATTGCAGTGCCATAGCAAGGCTTGTAGACTACAGAATTTTCTGAGACTTGAGAATATTTTTGGCCTTGGATGGATCTAGCTCTGTGCCAAATTTCAGGTGAGTTGAGGCGGTGAATTTTTTTTAATGATTTTTTATGTTATAAAGGAATGTATAGCAAAATAATTGGTAGTCCGTGTCCTATCAGGTCAAAGTTCAAAACTCACGTTAATCATCTTTACGGCCATTTTTGTATACTATGGGATTAGTATTGATTAAATATGACAAAATTCTAAACAAAATTCTGATTTTGAAAAATATTTGGGGAAAAGATATGAAAAAAAGGGGGGGGTGTTTCCTTTACATTAACTGTTTGACCTACTTTATGCAAATGAGATGCGGCGTGATATGATTGACGTGAGTTTTGGCCTCGGTCTAGTAGTTTTCCTACTTTCGTCTGCTAACTTTCACTTTATTTCTCGAAGATTAACCATGAATGCATTTTTTACTAAGTATGTTGCCAAGGTAAACTCGGGCTCTGCCCCTGGATTGAATGGTCAGTGTCGCATTTGGACGGGGGCTAGAAGCAGCAACAACAAGTATGGTGTTGTGTGCTACAAGCATCCGATAAAGAACAGGTGGCAGACGATGCATGTGCATAGACTCAGTGTCATGTTACATCATCGTTACCATGAGTTGGATGCATCAGTTGTTGCATCTCACTTATGCCACAACACGCTGTGTGTTGTTCCAGAACATATTGTTCTGGAGCCGCAGGGCGTCAACAACCAGCGACAGACCTGCAAATCTGGGGGCACCTGTCTGGGGCACCCACTGCCATATCCACCCTGTCGCCTTGAGCTGCGTATGAATGACGATTAACAATCTAGGTAAGTTTATCACATTTATTATTATGTTACACCGCTGAAGATGGGAGAGGCATGCATCACTCCTCACAAAGTTAGTTAGTAAGTATTTGTCAATGAAAAAGTTAAAAGGTAATTATTAATGTCATTTTCATGTAACTTATTATTTTACAAAGTTCATAGCGAGTCACTCTCTTCCATGACGTGGCCTTAGATGGTATCGTAATCCTCCATTCTTGTGATATGGGTGATCACGGGCAGCAGGTGAGTTGAAGTCAAGTTGACCTTTACGGTAATCTGAAGTTCCTCTTTGTTCCTCGCGGTACTGGTGATGCTCTGCCATTTTCCTTGCCAGCTGTCTGTTTCTTCTACTCTTTACTCTCTCTTTTCTGTGATAGGCTTGATTGTAGAGGAACTTCTGCTCTAGTCTGTGTAGTTGTCGCTTTCCCTGTTCCGAGTACTGTATTCCAGCAGATTCGCATTTCAGTCTCGTCGAAGTACCAGGTAAGTTGTTCCGTCTGTGTATCATGGAATGAAGACGACCCTCCATTGTTCGAGAGAACTTAATGTTCTTGGGCATGTTGCAACTGGCACTGCGGTGGTAAGATTCATTGGCATTTGTGTCAGTCAGCAGCTTCATGGCGTTGATGGCTTCTACACTCAGTTTCATTTTAAGGATTTCTGTCACAATTTTAATGTCATTTTCACTCATTTGCAGTGTGGTGATCTTATATTATAAACTGCCAAATTGCGGCTGAAGTTCCAACAGTTGGAAACGCACCCACCATCACACACAAGCGAGTACGCCACACACATTGAACAGTCACCAGTGTAACAGAGGACAGTGGCCTCAAGGACTTTAGGTAAGAAATCACTCATTTTCTGCAAGTCGCTGTTAAATCTTGTAAACAGTTCTTTAACTTAATCAAAGCACATCTTGACTTTAGGTCATTGCTGAACACCCTCTGAAGCTCTTTCTTCTGTTCTTTAGTCTTTGTATGGAACATTGCATCACTGTAAACTGCTCGGTTGCTGGCACGGAACTGTGACTGCCCAAGGTGGACGGGGTCAGCAAGACGCTCTACTTTCCATAGGGGATGTAGAGCTCGCATGGCTTCGTCCACTCCTTTGGCACCTTGGGCGTCGCCGTCTGTGGTAACATACCGGACTAATACATCTTGTAGTGCGAGCTGTGTGCCGATGTCCTTCCCCATCTCGTACTCGGAAAATGGTGCTGCCCGTGGTAGATTGGAGGTACACTCAGGATGGCCACCTGGACAATCCACTTCCATTCCCTTGCCCCTTAGCCATGCACCTGTCCAGCAGAGCTTATTTTGCAGAGCACAGGCAAGTATGTATTTTCTATCAGTGTTGGTTTCAACGGCCAATGAGAAGGCTTGACTGGCATTCTGTCCGGGAGTCTTACGGCTGAACATGATGTTACTGTTGTAACGGGCATCTGTTGAGATGTTGATGACATCCTCTGGATGGCCTCGGGTCCTGTTGATCTGTTTTACTTTCTGTATCTTCTGATGCATATCTTCTTTGTTTAGCTTTGTAATATTTTTACTTATTTTAAACAGGAGCTTCTGGAGAGAGGCCTTAGTGGGAGATGGGATGTCCATGCAGCTAAGGAATTCTATAACCTTCTCAGCTCCTAGTGAAGTGTCCTGAAGGGCATATGCCAGGGCCATGTTTGATGCTGATGCTTTGCGTCCAGGACCCCCTTGATGAATTTCTTGGAATAGGGCAAACTCGGGTGAGTTGAACTGGCAATTAACACAAGTCAGTGAGTATTTCCAGGAAATTCCTACTTTTTTTGAGTACTGCACAGTAATGTTCGGTGCGGTACAAGTGGTAGACTGGTGAAGTTGTATGGTTTGATTAATCATCTCCATCATCTTGTCTTCGTCCACTATACGTCGACCGCCTAAGTATTCGCTACTCTTTGGTATTTGTTTTTTGCAGTTTGATGGACGTGGCCGCAGAATGCAGGTTGATCCGCTCTCACCGTCGCAGTCCGGAGTTTGGTATGAATGGCTGTCGAGACTTGGTTTGGTGACCAGGGCATGATCTGTTGAATTCAGCCTGACAAATGATCTTCGACCAGAATTTGGCTGTTTTTCCATCTTGAAGCCGTGGCTATTTCCTTGATGAAATCCTCCTTGCCTTGGGAGCTTCCTCTTGCAGAGTTGCTTCCCTTTGTTCCAGGGAACCATATTTTTCTTAAACATGATGGTGAGTAGAATACTACTTATTCTTGCAGATTCAGGCAATAATGCCTTGGTTTTTCTTATTTCAACCATATTTATAGTGCTTAATGTTTGATTATTCTTAGTATGGCATCTTGTATATATCCATGACATTTTTAATGTGACCAGGGATAATCCAGCATGACCTGTAAGTGCCACTTCCTGATATTGGCTGCTGTGGTCATGTTTGCTTATCTGCTCACAACAAAGGGATTAATCTGTTTTTATTATCTTTTACTGTTGTTTTTTATAGCCAATATAATGTAGAATTTTTTCATAATTTTTATTTTGTAAATTTCTATTGATTAATATTTTATATAGGGCAGTTTTTAAGAAATTTCACCATATTTGGGGGTATTTTTTCAAAAAAATCTTAAGAATTTTATCTGCATAATTGATCAAAGTTGTTATCAGAATTAAGTAGAGGGGATATTAAAATTATAGAAAAAAATAATTGGTAAGAAATTTATTGTAACATATGTGATATGTGAGTATTTCAAATTTGTGCATTGTGTGTCTGATGCTCATTTCATCCTCTGTTTTCAGGAGATCCAGTCATCACTGAAAAGGGCCATAACTCTGCTGTTCAGATGACAAATCCAATGAGACTTCAGAGGGGTGTGTAGTATGGCTTTAGAAGATTCTGTGCCAATTTTCATCAAAATCAAAGAAGGTTAGTGTCTTTATTAGGTTACAGGATACTAATTTTACCCCTATTTCATTGACCACGCAAAGAGTTCCAGATTAAAAATAGAGTTTTTTTCTTAAAAAATCTTGGGGGTGTATATGGGGTGGAATGGGGTTATTTTAGGGCATAGATGGAAAGGAGAGGGTCTGAAAAAAATTATAAAATTAAGAATAATGGGAATTTTGCTATTAAGTGCGTAGTAGGAAGGGTGTAAAGAGGCCATTGTTGACCTATTTCTCAAAGGGAAATGGAAATATGCAGGGTAGGGGTAAATTGCAGTGCCATAGCAAGGCTTGTAGACTACAGAATTTTCTGAGACTTGAGAATATTTTTGGCCTTGGATGGATCTAGCTCTGTGCCAAATTTCAGGTGAGTTGAGGCGGTGAATTTTTTTTAATGATTTTTTATGTTATAAAGGAATGTATAGCAAAATAATTGGTAGTCCGTGTCCTATCAAATGGAAACGTCGTCTGGAGGGGTAACACGAATCACCGGAATGCCCCGTAATCACCGAAATGCCCCTAAAAATCACCGAAATGCCCAACAAAATCACCGAAATGCCCTTACATATGTTTTTACATGATGTTTTTCATAAAAATTAATGCCTAATTATTTCAGTAAAGCATAATTGACGGTAAAATTAATTGTTTTATGTTTTGTGCTTAAAGCGTATCATACTTCAAAGGGCGATAACTCGTTTTTGGTGATGAACTTCTAAGAAGTGAAGTCTACGATGTTTTTAGAAATCAAGAATAAACGTGAATAATATTACAAACAGAATTTTCATTGATATGAAAAATATTACTTATGTTTAGAATATATTTAAAAAGAAAAAGAAAAGAAAAATAAAAAAAAAAGAGACTATTTTGGCACGTGCCTTTAATCAGTGAGAGTTATCTTTCTTAGATATTGTAACATGCACAATCTTCTGTCCAAATAAGAATACTTTCGCTAAAATTATGAAATTTTTATTCGGTATCTAAGCTCTAGAACAGTTAAAATCATCAATATTTATAAATTTTTGTTTATATGTTACAAAATTAGGGGCATTTTGGAGGCATTTCGGTGATTTCTTGGGGCATTTCGGTGATTACGGGGCATTCCGGTGATTCGTAGTACCGGTCTGGAGCGATGACTCCTGAATCTTTGAAAAGGAAAGCTACTAATGCGGACGAAAATAATAATACTCCCCCGAAAAAGAAGACACAGTGGAGTCAAAAATTTAAAGAAGAGTATAGTGTTAAGTATGACTGCGTGTCAAAATCGGGAAAAGGTATGTTTTATGCCAAGTGTATGGTTTGTGGGATCGACTTCAACATTTCCCATGGGGGAGAAAACGATATAAAGAAACATTTAAAGACTAATAAACATCAACAGACATGTAAAAGCACATGTTCATCTAAAAAAAATGGACAATTTTTTCGTTAAAAAATCGGACTCTTCTGCAACATTGAAATCAGAATGTTTATTTACGTCCTTTATTATTGAACACAATCTTCCAATAAATATTGCAGACCATGCTACAAAACTTTTTCCTAAGATGTTTCCCGACTCTGATATGGCCAAAAAGTACAGTTGTGGCCGCACTAAAACAACATCAATCATAAACGAAATGTCAAAAGATGTTAGACAATCCATGGTATTAGATTTAAAGGGAAAAGCCTACACTGTATCAACAGACGGGAGTAACGATGTTGACATGAAACTATATCCAATCGTGATAACATATTTAGATGAAGAACTTTCAAAAATAGTTAATTGTCTTTTATCTGTTCCAAACTTGGAAGGGAAATCTACTGGTGAAAACATAGCAAATTTATTGTGTAGTGAACTTGAATTAAATGGACTTGACATAAAAAACTGTGTTTCACTTGGAGTGGACAATGCCAATGTTATGATTGGAAAGAAAAAAGGAGTAGCAGGATTTTTGTTAAAAAAAAACAGCAAAATGATTATTCGTGGTTGCCCATGTCATTTAATTCATCTGGCAGCTGAAAAGGCTGCAAAAACTTTGCCTTATCAATTCGATGAAATTTTAGTTGATTTATTTTATTATCTTGAAAAATCAGCAAATAGAAAACAAGAACTTACTCAATTTCAGAGCATGAATGATACAGAAACACAAAGAATATTAAAACATGTGTGCACAAGATGGTTGTCAATGGGTGTTTGTCTCAGTAGACTTATTGAACAATGGGTTCCATTGAGGAAATATTTTGAATCCAAAATGAAAGAGGATGACAAACCCAAAATGAAAGAGGACGACAAACAAAAAGGTGGTACACAACCAAAAAAGGATGCAAAAAAGTTAAGTGAATCAGATGTAGTTGGCAAACAAAATGGTGATGGCAAACGTAAGACTTGTACTAAACAAAAAAAACAAGAAAGTAAAGAAAAATCTTCAGTGCATAAACAACAGACTGTTCTCAGTTTTGCTAGTCAAACAAGCTCAACGTCTGTTAAGAAAACAAATAAAACAATTCCAAAATCTGATGTTGGTAAAGAAACTGGATTACCAGAAGAAAATAAAACTTATATACGGGAACAAAGGCTATACAAACTATTGACCTCTAGACGTTGTGCCGTGTATGCTGTGTTTTTGCAGAATTGCGTACAGATGTTTGACAAATTTAATACTATGCTTCAGGCTGAGGAGCCTCTAATACACAAATTGCAGCGGATTCTATTGTCTCTTTACAAAGAAATTTTGCAAAGACTTGTTAAGCCTGGCTGTATTGCTAAAGAAGAAAATATCTTATGGGTAGATTACAAGAATAAGGATGAACAGTTTCAAAATGAAAGCCTAGTAGTAGGGTACGAGGTGAAACCTTTCCTTGAAAAACTTAAACAAATTGGAAAAGATGAATTTTATGAACATGTTCGTGAATATTATGTGACAGCTTTGGATTACATGAAGCAAAAATTGCCCTTGTCAGATGTTACCCTGAAACATGCAGAAGTAGCTGACATTGAGAAAAGGAGTGATCAGTCATTTGATTCTGTGGTGTATTTTGCAGATAAATTTGAACATTTCTTAAGAAAAGAGGGAACTACAACAGCAGAAATGATGAACAATCTTCAAACAGAATTCAATTTCTACCAGTCTGATAAATTGTCAGAAGTTGATTTGAGCTTACCAATCACTCAGTGCTGGTGTGCTATTGGGCAGATAAAAAATGAGTTGGGAGGATTGAAATTTAAAGTACTTTCAGAACTAATGAAGTCTATTCTTTGTATTCCTCACAGTAATGCAGGATGTGAGCGAGTTTTTTCCTTAGTTCGGAAGAACCACACAGATTTTAGAGGATCCATGAAAACTTCAACACTAGAATCAATCCTTGTGAACAAAATGAGCATGTCCTCCAAAGGAAAACTGTGTTATCAACAGCAATTTACTGAGGAATTCATTCAAAAGGCAAAGGGTGCCACCTATGTGTCTTTAACAAAATAGGTTTATACATCTATTCAGATTTTGGAAACAAGATTTAATTGTTGACATGAAATTGTGTATGATTTTACTATTATAAAAAAGAATTCAATATGCACTCTTCTGTTTTAATTGATTATACAGTAGATCATTAACATAATTTATGACTTGAATAAATAACCTGAAATATGCCTAAAATTGATCCGATTGCATGTAATTTTACAAAAAATCTCCAGCGGCCGGGGGCCTAGGCGGCCCCCGGACCCCCGCCTTACTATTTTTCATTTCTGAATGTTGGCAGCTCTGTCAAGGGTTCTGGTGTTAGGGTGGGGCTCTAATGATTATATAGTAAAAATACATTCATTCTTTGAAAACCTTTTCCTCTGCCCCTGGATATCATGAAAACAAACTAAATGTATAGTTATGATAAGGAAGGTTGCCTCAAACTAAACTGTGGCATTATTGATTATTATAGTGAAAATTCATTAATTCCTTAAAAATCTTCTCATCACTTGGTTTTAAGCCAATGAACTTTGTACATAAGTATGATGGAGAAGGGGGCTTCTTCCAATCTTGTGAATTTTAATGCATGGTCTCTGGGTCAGGGTTTCTCAACTGGTGGTTTTTGCAGACAAACAGATAAGCAGACAGAGAGACAGACAGACGAGCAGGACTAAAAGTATGTTCCCCTAAATTTTTGATTACCCGGGGCATAAAAGCATGTTGTAGTTGTAAGACATAGGAATTACCACAATGGGAGGAAATCCGATGCCTCCAATCCTTTGATTTTATATAATGAAACAAAATTTAATGTTGAAAATAAATTTGAGATTATTTGTTGTATATACAAACACTGCTGAGTAAAGAATTCAATCATTAATCTCCCAAACTCTGTAATGTTTGAACAGATCAGGTCAGTTTTAAATACAGTAATTAATTGATAATTCGAATCAGTCGATATCATTTTTAGCTCTACTGGTCAGAGACCAGAAGAGCTTATGCGATAGTAATGCGTCCGGCGTCCGTCCGTCTGTCCGTCTGTCTGTCTGTCTGTCCGTCTGTCTGTAAACAATTTTTCAAAATGCTACTCCTTTTACAGTTTTGATCTGATTTCAATATAACTTGGCACACAAGTAGACTACACTAAGATACATAATTCTGTCTATCGGTTTTTGATTTTGATAAACGGTGTTGCCGTGGTAACTAAAAATAGAAATTTCTGTGAAATTTCTTTAAAATGCTACTACTCCTACAGTTTTGGTCTGATTTCAATATAACTTGGCACACAAGTAGACTACACTAAGATACATAATTCTGTGTATAGGTTTTTGATTTTGATGAACGTTGTTGCCATGGTTACTAAGAATAGAAATTTCTGTGAAATTCTTTCAAAATGCTACTCCTCCTACAGTTTTGGTCTGATTTCAGTATAACTTGGCACACACGTAGACTACACTAAGATACACAATTCTGTGTATTCGTTTTTGATTTTGATAAATGGTGTTGCCGTGGTAACTAAAAATAGAAATTTCTGTGAAATTCCTTTAAAGAGCAACTCCTTTTACATTTTCTGTCTGACTTCAATATAATGCAAAAAAGTAGACAACACTAAGATGCATAATTCTGTATATCGGTTTTTGATTTCGATGAACATTGTTGCCGTGGTTACTAAAAATAGAAATTTCTGTGAAATTCCTTTAAAATGCTACTCCTCCTACAGTTTTGGTCTGATTTCAGTATAATTTAGCACACAAGTAGACTACACTAAGATACATAATTTTCTATATCGGTTTTTGATTTCGATAAACAGTGTTGCCGTGGTTACTAAAAATAGAAATTTCTGTGAAATTCTTTCTTTACTCCTCCTACAGTTTTGGTCTGATTTCAATATAACTTGGCACACAAGTAGACTACACTAAGATACATAATTCTGTGTATCGGTTTTTGATTTTGATAAATGGTGTTGCCGTGGTAACTAAAAATAGAAATTTCTGTGAAATTCCTTTAAAATGCTACTCCTCCTACAGTTTTGGTCTGATTTCAATTTAACTTGGCACACAAGTAAACAACACTAAGATACATAATTCTGTGTATCGGTTTTTGATTTTGATGAACATTGTTGCCATGGTTACTAAAAATAGAAATTTCTGTGAAATTCCTTTAAAATGCTACTCCTCCTACAGTTTTGGTCTGATTTCAATATAACTTCGCAAACTTGTAGACTACACTAAGAACATAAAGAGACTTTATCAAGGATCATTATTCTATCTATTGCTGTTGTTAAGTTTCAATTCCCAACTGCTGAAGTACTTTTCTCTTCCTTTGCTATAAGTACAAACCAGTAGAGCTTCAGTCTCGACAGAGACTTCTGGTTTCGTGTGCAATAAATACCTTGGTAAACACTTTTTCAATGGAAGGCAAAGTACCTCTCTGGTCGTCCATCCAATTTTTAGCTCTACTGGTCAGAGACCAGAAGGGCTTATGCGATAGTAATGCGTCCGTCCTCCGTCCGTCTGTCTGTCTGTCTGTCCGTCTGTAAACAATTTTTCAAAATGCTACTCCTCCTACAGATTTGGTCTGATTTCAAAATAACTTGGCACACAAGTAGACTACACTAAGATACATAATTCTGTGTATCGGTTTTTTATTTCGATGAACAGTGTTGCCGTGGTTACTAAAAATAGAAATTTATATGAAAATCAATCAAAATGCTACTCCTCCTACAGTTTTGGTCTGATTTCAAAATAACTTGGCACACAAGTAAACTACACTAAGATACATAATTCTATGTATCAGTTTTCGATTTCGATGAGTTGTGTTGCCGTGGTTACTAAAAATAGAAATTTATATGAAAATCAATCAAAATGCTACTCCTCCTACAGTTTTGGTCTGATTTCAAAATAACTTGGCACACAAGTAAATTACACTAAGATACATAATTCTGTATATCTGTTTTTGATTTCGATGAACGGTGTTGCTGTGGTTACTGAAAATAGAAATTTATGTGAAAATCAATCAAAATGCTACTCCTCCTACAGTTTTGGTCTGATTTCAATATAACTTGGCACACAAGTAGACTACACTAAAATACATAATTCTGTGTATCAGTTTTTGATTTCGATGAATGGTGTTGCTGTGGTTACTAAAAATAGAAATTTATGTGAAAATCATTCAAAATGCTACTCCTCCTACAGTTTTGGTCTGATTTCAAAATAACTTGGCACACAAGTAGACTACAGTAAGATACATAATTCTGTATATCGGTTTTTGTCATTATTCTATTCATTGCTTTTGTAAAGTTTTATGTCCCAGCTGCTAGTTTTTAGCTCTACTGGTCAGAGACCAAAAGAGCTTATGCGATAGTAATGCGTCCGTCGTCCGTCCGTCTGTCTGTCTGTAAACAATTTTTCAAAATGCTACTCCTCCTACAGGTATGGTCCAATTTCAATATAACTTGGCACACAAGTAGACTACACTAAGATACATAATTCTGTGTATCGATTTTTGATTTTGATGAACGGTGTTGCCGTGGTTACTAAAAATAGAAATTTCTGTGAAATTCTTTCAAAATGCTACTCCTCCTACAGTTTTAGTCTAATTTCAATATAACTTGGCACACAAGTAGACTACACTAAGATACATAATTCTATGTATCGGTTTTTGATTTCGATGAACGGTGTTGCCGTGGTTACTAAAAATAGAAATTTCTGTGAAATTCTTTCAAAATGCTACTCCTCCTACAGTTTTAGTCTGATTTCAATATAACTTGGCACACAAGTAGACTACAGTAAGATACATAATTCTGTATAGCGGTTTTTGATTTCGATGAACGGTGTTGCCGTGGTTACTAATAATAGAAATTTCTGTGAAATTCTTTCAAAATGCTACTCCAAATACAATTTTAGTCTGATTATAATATAAATGTTGCATGCAAGTAGACTGCACTAAGAACATAAAGAGACTTAATCAAGGATAATTATTCTATTTATCTGTTGAAAAGTTTCAAATTCCAACTGCTTAAGTACTTTTCTCTTCCTTTGCTATAAGTACAAACCAGTAGAGCTTCAGTCTCGACAGAGACTTCTGGTTACAGTATACTATGAACTTGAAAAATACAATTATGGGAATCAATAAATGCCAGCAATGAATGCGATTAATTGGATATAACCAAAAGAAAAGATAGGCAAAAAAGAGTTTGTACATGCAGTTTTCTTCAAATATAAACATAAAGAAGATTGACAAACCCTTTTTTTTTTTACTAATCAGGGATTCGGACTTCCTGTTCCTCACATAAAGATTAGACTTGATCTATGATCATTATACTAGCTATTCACGCTGCCACGCTCCGCCCACCGATGGCAACGAAAGTCACGTGATTGCAGACTCCGACAACCTAACGTAAACAACATGGATGCGATCTACAGCATCGTATGGGAAATAAACTTCAATGAGCTTGTTTGCTCACAATTTTTAATAGAAATGTTTGTCGAACGTCGTATGAGTTTAATTGAGGTTTCAAACACAAAATTTTAGTAAGTACAAATGGAAGGAAGAGTGATTTTAACCGCTATATCCGTATGCAACCGACCTGAAGGTCAGTTCAACTGTCGCCGGACAGTGTTAAGTGTTCTACAGGGTAGGTCGGAAACGGAGATAAATTAATTGTCATTGATTACAATAAATTGACAAATTTTTTTTAGTAAGCATTGCAAGTTTAACCACCTAGACCCCCCCATGTTAAAACCTTTGTTACCGGCCGACGTTGGACAAATTATCTTTTGCTGTAGGCCTATATTTTTAGGTCACCTGAGTAAACTCAGGTGACCTATTGCTATCCGTTTTCGTCCGTCGTCGTCCGTCGTGTGTCGTGTGTTAACATTTGAACATTTTCAGCTTCTTCTCTGCAACCACTGAACCAATTTCAACCAAATTTGGCACAAAGCATTTATGGGTGAAGGGGAACAAAAATTGTGAATTTCATGATCCCTGCCCCCCTGGGGCCTGAGGGGTGGGGCCAAAACCAG